GGTCGTGACTTTCTTTTCAAAAGACCTGGACCACCAGCAGCTTCTCCTTGAGCTTGTTAACTCTGCAGAGCCTCAGCCCCACCCCAGACCTCCAGAATCAGAAACTCTGGTGAGGCCCAGGCCACAGTCTGCAGTTTCATAAGCTCTCCAGGGGCCTCTCGGGCTTGAGAAGCTCTGCTTGTGGGCATCTCCTTGGGTCACAGCTGCTGCACACACACAAGATTTTTTCCAAGCGGCAGTCTGGAGAAAGTGCCTCTAGAAATGTCCTGGATGATTATCTGGCTTTGGGCTCAAACCTAAGCTGTCTTGCTGTTCCCTGTTGTCCCATTCATTCAGCAGGCCTGTGGGAAGGGCTGTCGGCCTGCTCTCCCCACTTGGAGCATTTGCCCTTCTCTCCCAGCTTCAGGGCCTGCCTCACATTTTGTTCCCTACTGAAACACCTTTTTCAACTTCTTCCGGTAGAAAATAAGTGCCACTGCATTCATCGTGGTCTCTCTTATGGTTTACCTGCCATTTCCTGTGTGACCTTGACCAAATAACTTAAACTTTGTTTCTTCGTCTATAAAATGGGATGCTCAGAATAATAGAGCCTACCTCATTAATGCGTTTACACTTGTTAGTGCTCCGGATGATATTCAGCAAGTGTCAGTTCTAAAAGTAATGGCATAAGTAATGGGCATATAGTGTTCTATAGTAACAGCACAGTGCATGGCACAGAAATACTCGCAAATGCCAGCTTTTGTTAGTAGCTACTCAGGGCACTGAACATCTTGCATTTGTTTGTGCGTGTCTTACCATTACTGTTATTCTACACTTGCTCTCCATCCTCCTCTTAGTCCTAAAGCTCTGTGGCATCAGATCTCTTGCTGTCTCAGCTCAGAATCTCTGTATCTCCCAAAGTACCTACTACAAGTTGAGCATCCTGATCTGAAATGCTTGGGCCTGAAGTGTTTGGGATTTCGGGGTTTTTTGGGTTTGGAAACATTTGCATAGCCATCATGAAAGATCTTGAGGAAGGGACCCAAGTTCACATGAAATTCATTTATGTTTCATATACACCTATACACATAAACCTGAAGATAATTTCATTTTCCTCCTGGAGATGCTGAAGGAACTGTCTTTGTGTTACCTGTGTTTTGGCTGTAGCCGTCACATGAGGTCAGCTGTGGAATTTTCCACCAAGGTATGTCCACAGGCAGTATAGGTAAAAAGTCTCAGAGGAGCCCTCCCTTATCATCTTCCCCATCTCCCTCTTCTTGGGGTAGTTGCCTGTGGTCCCCAGCTTTCTGGTGATGATATTCCTCACCAAGGTCCCCGAGGAAGCGAGTGGGTCTGGGTACCTGCTCTTGAGTCCTGGGGACTATACACTCAGCACTCAGCCTAGAATATCTCTTTCAGATAAGAGATTCCTCTGAGATTCTCCAGGATGGCCTAGACAGTTTTTCCTGCTTGTAATTACATTGTTAAGAGCAGCTCTCTGAGCCATATTTCTTACTCTGCCAAACAAATCAAGTTCCTTTTCAATGCAGTGTTGTCCTCAGGCAGCAGTGATGGGCAGGATAGGGACACGGGACCTGGACACAACAGTACTGTGGCCCACCTCATTAATGAGTAGTGATCTGGCCTGCAGTGGCATTGAAGACAGAAAATAGAGATGCCACCAAGGGTGAACGTCTCGCCTGCCTGGAGTTTCCCTGCTGCTTTATAAAGACACCTGTGGTAGCTCACGCCTACAATCCCGGCACTTTGGGAGACTGAGGTGAGAGGTTTCCCTGAGCCCATGGGTTCGAGACCAGCCTGGGCAGCTTGGCGAGACTTCATCTCTACAATAAATCAAAAAATTAGCCAGACGTGGTGGCATACACCTGTAGTTCCAGCTACTTGAAAGACTGAGGCGGAAGGATTGCATGAGCCCATCAGGTCGAGGCTGCTATGGCCATGAGCGTGCCACTGTACTCTAGCCTGGGTGGCAGAGTAAGACTCCAACTGGAAAAAAAAAAAAAGAGCAGAGGTGTCTGCAACCGCAGGTGGTGGAGGGTAGTCTCCTTCAGATTCTGTCATATTGGAACCCAAGTCCAGTCCCCATTTGCAGACCTGGGCAGACCTCTTTATGAACAGTTTGTTATGTTACATGAATATTACAGATATATATGTATATAATTTTATTGTTTATATATGTTTATAATTTTCTAGTGAGATGAGATCTCACTATGTTGCCAAGGCTGGTCTCGAGCTCCTTGGCTCAAACTACCCTCTCATCTCGGCCTTCCAAATTGCTGAGATTACAGGCATGAGCCACTGTACCTGGCAATATTCTGTATTTTGAATTCCTGGATTATTTTAAACCTGTGCAGTTTTTCGTTTTCAAGTGTTTTTCCAAGTGTCACCTTAATGTTTTACGTCTCCGTTATGTTTATATTCGTTTTCTGGAAGTCAGCAAGGTTCACTGAGTTATAATGAGATGATGAATATAAACAGTGCCTTATAAGCTGTAAGATGCTTATAACTGGCCGGGCACAGTGGCTCAAGCCTGTAATCCCAGCACTTTGGGAGGCTGAGGCGAGAGGATTGCCTGAGCCCAGGGTTTCACGACCAGCCTGGGCAACTTGGTGAGACCTCGTCTCTACAATATATCAAAAAATTAGCTGGGCATGGTAGTGCGTGCCTGTAGTTCTGGCTACTTGGAAGCCTGAGGCAGAAGGATGCCAGAACCCAGCAGGTCGACCCTGGGGTGGCCATGAGCCTGCCACTGCACTCTCTGGCAAGACACTCCAGGATAAACTCACGGACTCTTTGGGTAGAATTGTCAGTCAGGGTTTCTCAGAGAATGCCGTGTATATACTATCTAAATTTCTGCAAGGCATTTTGTGCAGTCTGTCCTAATATTCTTTTAGGTAATGAACTTCCTGGATGGAATGGTACAGTTAGGAGGATTCATAGCTGGGGAATGGCCTCAAGGAAACGGCAAGAGGCTGGAGTGGGTTTAGAGGCAGGAGTGGGTTTAGAGGCAGGATGAGCAGGGAGCTGACTGTAATGCTCCCAGAAGGCCTCTGCCTGGCCCAATGAGTGTTCTTGGTAACTGTTTGGTTGGGGCATTTATGGCGTTTCTGTACAACTGAGGTTTACCCAACTTCTGTTGGATGATGAACGTGTTGTATGAAGAATTGGGTCCTGGGTCCTGGGAGGTACCCAAGATTCCCCCCAGTCCTGCCCATTTTACCCTGCAGTGCTTCCCAAATCCACCTTCTCCCTGATCCTTCCTGACTTCAGGCCCTCGTCCTTTCTCTGCAGTCATGTTTTAACTAGGCTCCCCGCCTCTAATATTGCCCCCTCGGCAATAAGAGCACTTCAGTGAAAACGTTCCCCTGACCCTACTGCTTAAAATAACCCCTCAATGACAGTCCCTTGCCTACCAAGAATGTCCATGCTCCTTCATGTTGTCCAGATGGCTCACTGTGTCCTGGCCACATTTCTTCTCTAGCTTCATCTCTGCCCTTTCCACCTCGAAGTTTACACCCTGCTGATATTGGCAGGCTTGTAGTCCCCCCATGGTCCACTGTTTCCTGCCTTCCTCGAGGCTTAGCTCAGGTGGCTTCTGCCCTGGGTGGTTCCAACACATCATTGTTGTCTTCCCCCTTGAGACTCAGGTGGCCTTTATACTGTTCTTCCGTAGTTATCTGCTCATGCCGTTCTCTTTCTCAGATTAGACTGGAAACTTCTTTAGGGCAGTGAGCTTATTTCATATAGCACCTGGCATGTAGCAAGCAGACAGTATTTTCTTATCAAAACTGAGAGTATAAAAAAAAAAATCTCAGCACCTAGAGGCAGACCATAAAACTTAACAGGAAGAGAAAATTTAGCAGGGATGTAGTTGGGTTTAAACAAACAAACAGACCAGACACAGTGGCTCATGCCTGTAATCCTAGTATTTTGGGAGTCCAAGACAGGAGACTTGCTTGAGCCCAAGAGTTTGAGACCAGCCTGGGCAACATGACAAGACCTCATCTCTTCAGAAAGTCAAACAATCAGCTGGGCAGGTTGGCACGTGCCTATAGTCCCAGCTGCTCAGGAGGCTGATGTGGAAGGTTCACCTGAGGCTGTGCGAGCTGTGATAGTGCCCTGCACACCAAATGAGGCCCCAACTTAAAAAATAATAAAAAATAAAACAAAACACACGTTGACCTAAGTGCCGAGTACAAGGTGAGAGAAAGATGACTCACCGCCACCAGTAGACCATGTGAAAAAGCAAGACTGGTTTCAGTTGACTTTCCACTCTTATGAGTCGACAGTGTGATGCAACACCCATAACCTCGGGTTGCGAACAGGGAAAGGAATTGCCCTACTACTCAAACCATGCAGAGAGCTGTGATCTATTCTCCAAAGAAAGGTAGCTAGAATCAAAAAAGGCAGACCTCATCACGTGGAGAAGGAAGCTCATCTGGGAATGATAGACGGGCACTGTAATTGTAATCAAATCCCTAGCGTGCTGTCACTGGGAACCTCAAAATGCAGAGTTAGACCAGTGAGTGGAGGCTTCACAGAGAACACTGTGACCATTAGGTCTCCTAACCATCTTGTGAATGCCAGGCTACCGCAGGATGCAACCCAGGGCCTCTGGGGAGATATATTGTGCAGGGACTCTGAGCCCCGGAAGGAAGCTTATGCTCAATATCCTTTCCTCCTGGTCAGCTTTGCTGCTTCGGGATCCAAGAGGTCACTGAGTTTATATTTACTGAACATTAAGTGAGGCTACCAGGAGCACGTCATTGATAGTAGTGCCTTTGTCCCCTGGGGAAAATTATGAATTGCCTACATAGACATTGCTCTGGGCCAGAAGTGTGAACCTTAGCGGGCATCTTACATTGTTTGTTTGAAATCTGCTTAGGAGAAACAGCTGACGGTTTCTCCCAATGTTTTCAGAGTCTTTCATTCTTCCATATCCTTTTGTGAACATTTAAATAATGTGGTTATCTCCTTCCCTCTGCTTGTTTGCTTTTTAGTTCTGGAGAGTGTTGGCTTCTGGGAGGAAGTCAGAGAAATTATCTCAGGATCAGAGCTGATAACGGGACGCCCCTGTCCCTCCAAGGTGCCAGGCCTGCCCCAGTACCTCCAGAGCCTCACCAGGCTAGCCATCACTGCTGTGTGGGCAGCGGAGGCCAACAGTGAAGAGCAGAAGGGGGGAGATCCCATCTCCCTCTCTCAGCTGTTAGAGTCTGCCTTCCCTGAAGTCCGTGAGCTGACGCTGGAAGCCCTCCTGGAAAGGTTCTCGGCAGCAGCCTCTGGGTCAGGAGAGAAGGGACTGCCACCCTCGCTATGCAACATGGGAGAGATGTTCTTGCTGTTGGCAATGAAGGAAACTCACCCTGAGTGCTTCTGCAAGGTAAAGTCCCTGAGGTACTGACTCCCATGTTCCTCGGTGAGCCACCGGTATGGTGGGGTCATGAAGGCAGGCTCTCCAGGGGCAGCAGGAGATAAATTCAGCCTCCCAAGGATAAGGACTCTCTTTGTGTGGTGCTTGGCGTGACTGCATGCATAGAAGGGCACCAAGAAAAGCTTTTGATGATAGTGGTATTGATGGTAGAGATTAACCAAAGACAGAGCAAGCTACTCGGTTGTTTAGGAAACAGACTGCTGGAAATGTGCTTAGAGTGTGTCAGAGGTAGTCTCTGCTGACGTGGCTGTTTGGGGCAGATGGCCACCTGGAAAGCGTAATCAAAAGGAAAGGACGCTGGCCCAGGAATCGGGGCATCTAGCTCCCATCCCAAGGCTGGGGGCGCTTTGGTTTGTCACTGCTCTGCCCTGCCTCAGTATCATGAAGGCATTATGGGGAAATAAGTCAGTGGGAGCCCTGGTCAGCACAGTGATTATTCAGCAGCTAGAGACTTTTCCCTGAGTATTTCTTTCTCTTTTTTTGCATGGATTTGGCTCACACAGATTCTGAAAATTCTCCATTGCATGGACCCCCGTGAGTGGCTTCCCTGGACAGAACACTGTGTCCATCTGACCCCCAAGGAGTTCTCGGGCTGGACGATGGATATTGCTTCCAGTGAAAGGTTTGCCACCATGCTTTCTGTGCAGCCTTGTAGGGTGGAGGGTCCGGTCCCATCAGTCACTGTGTCATGAACTTGCACACAGTCCTGGTCTCAGGACTCGGGGCCTGTACTTCACGCTAAACCTCACAGCCTAAGAGCTGTGTTCTAAGCACAAGCCATAAAGTGATGTCAGAGTTTCGCATTTTAGCCGGGCGCAGTGGCTCACCCCTGTAATCCCAGCACTTTGGGAGGCGGAGGTAAGAGGAGTGCTTGAGCCCACGGGTTGGAGACCAGCCTGGGCAACTTGGCGAGACCTCATCTCTACAATAAATAAATAAATAAATAAATAATTAGTCGTGCATGGCAATGCATTCTTATAGTTTCTGGCTGCTTGGAAGACTGAGGCAGAGGGAATACCTAAGTCCAGTAGCCATGGCACTCCAGCCTGAGCAACAGAGTGAGACCCCCCCCAGCTCAAAAAAAACAAAACAAAACCAGAATTTCACATTATAACCAAAAGGCAGTCACACTTCTGGAGGTATTTGCATAACCAGGAGACGATTTCCAGTATTCACATTTGCATGGATTACAGACTGTCTGCAGAAGCCATCAGTGTATCGATTATATTCGATTTTAATTTTGTGTATGTTTTCTTGCTTACGTTTTCTAGATCTGAAATTCAGAGTGTAGCCCTGCGGCTTGCCTCCAGAGTGATCGCCCACCAAACGCGGGCATGTACAGAGGTGAGGGTGATGCTCTTCCTGTTCCAGGGCTTGGGTTTTTGTGCTCCTGTTTACACAGAAGGCGTCAGTATAGGCGAACTGTCCCAGCAGGCAGAATCACTGTGACGTGTGTATGTAACCTCAACGGAAGTCTCGTTTGTGGTGGTTTTTCACTTCCAGTATAACTTGTGAACACTTTTTTGAAACACTGCCTTTCTTTTCTCTTGTTTGGGCATTTTTTTATTCAAGCCCACAAGGGTGGCACAACCTCCCCCCACAATCTCCCCCAGACCCCTTGTCTTTCCCCCTTTCCTAGCTAGACTCTTTGTTTAAAGAGGAATAAGCAAATCAATTCCAAGAATATTTAGGATTGCAGCCTAGTGAACTAAGTATGAAAATATATTGCTGAGGCTTAAATGTTCCCCCAGAAAAATGACCCAGCTGGCTCTGGATGGAGGTCCTGACATGTCCCATCTGTTTTCTGTGTCCTTTCGGGAAGTAGAACTAAAGTAAGAAAAAGAACTTCCTGGGAGGATGCCTTAAGACAGTTACATGCATACTCAGGTACCTGCAAGAAAGCCAGCACCATCACAGAATTACAAGTAACCTCACAGAAGGACAAGGCCACCAATACCACAGTAAACGTGCCAGAAGATCTTGATTTCACACCGTTAAGCTGCAGGAATCAGCGCATTGTGATAGTGGTGGCGTAAGACTATGGATTCTGAGTCCACAATACACCTAGCACTAATATAGGCACTAAAGATACAGAGATGAACAGAGGCTAGAGGTGCAGTCCCATGAGGGAAGGAGAACATGCGATCATCACATTCAGTGCTCTGATAGGAAGATATATCAAGGCTGTAGGAATCCAGAAGCAGGATGAATGTTTGGCAGCTGGAGAAGACTGCATAGAAGGGGCAGTTAAATTCAGGGATGGGGTTGGGGAGAGATAAAACCAGAGAGTAAGGATTAAGAAGCAGGTGTAAACAGCTTTCCTGCAACTGCCATTCAAAGGCAGGCTCGGGGGGCCAATCCTAGGAGGCCTCTGAGAGATCCCAGGAGTCAAAGAAAGGTCAGGTGGGCTGGGAGAGAGTACAGGGAGATCTGCAGCCCCAGAGGAAAAAACACCAAGTTCTAAGGAAGAAATCACAAGGCAGCCTAGCAAGCCTGCCAAAGGCACCCTTCTCATGTAAAACTGTTTTCCACCGGCTGTCATGTACATCTTTTTTTTTTTTTGAAATGGAGTCTCACTCTGTTGCCCAGGCTAGCGTGCAGTGGCACACTCACGGCCACCCTAGCATCAACCTGCTCACCTCCAGTGATCCTTCCACCTCCGCCTTCCAAGTAGCTGGAACTACAGGTGTGCACTACCATGCCCAGCTAATTTTTTATTTATTGTGGAGACGAAGTCCTGCCAAGTTGCCCAGACTGGTCTTGAACCTGCGGGCTCAGGCAATCCACTCGCCTCGGCCTCCCAAAGTGCTGGTTTACAGGCTGAGCCACCAAGCCCAGCCCATATGCATCTTTTTTTTTTTTTTTTTTTTTGAGTTAGAGTCTCAGTCTGTCGCCCAGACTGGAGTGCAGTGGCATGCTCTCAGCCACTGCAGCCTCGACCCGCTGGGCTCCAGCGATCCTTCCACCTCACCCTTCCAAGTAGCCGGAACTACAAGGCCACACTACCACACCAGGCTAATTTTTGATTTATTGTAGAGATGAGGTCTCGCCAAGTTGCCCAGGTGGATCTCTAACCCATGGGCTCAGGCAATCCACTCGCCTCAGCCTCCCAAAGTGCTGGGATTACAGGCTGAGCCACCGAGCCCGGCCCATGTGCATCTTAAAGGCACTGCTTGGTACTTAAAAAGCGGTGATACTTAATGAATAGTGGGAGTTTTCCAGTGAGGAAAAAAGTTAACAAAACAGTAGAGACATATATAAAAGAAGTTCCTGGGGACTCGGCTTCCTTTGTGCATTGGGAGTTAGTATCTTCCTCAAGGTCTAAGATGTGCCTCAGTTTACTTCCATGGATACCCATGGATGATCAAAGGAATTAGTAGACACATTCTGAACATATAAAAGAGGTTTACCTGATAGAGGAAGTATCTGAAATCGAGAGCAACAATCTACTTTCTTGGGAAAAGGTCAAAAAGCAGAGTTTAAAAGATGAAAACAGCTGGGCGGCGTGGCTCACGCCTATAATCCCAGCACTTTGGGAGGCCGAGGTGAGAGGATTGCCTGAGCCCAAGGGTTCGAGACCAGCTTGGGAAACTTAGCGAGACCTTATCTCTACAGTAAATCAAAAAATTAGCCGGGCGTGGTGGCGCGTGCCTGTAGTTCCAGCTACTTGAAAGACTGAGGTAGAAGGATCACCCTGAGCCCAGCAAGTCAAGGCTGCAGTGGCCGTGGGCATACCACTGCACTCCAGCCTGCCCAACAGAGTCAGACTCCAACTCAAAAAAAAAAAAAAAGGTGGAAATAACCTAGCTGTCTATCATATAATGAAAGGGTAAACAAAATGTGGTCTGTCCACACAATGGAATACTATTTGGCCATAAAAAGGAGTGCCATGCTGATACATCCTACAGCATGGATGAACTGTGAAAACATTGTGCTAAGTGAAAGAAGCCAAACACAAAAGGCCCCATGTTGCATGACTGCATTCATTTGAAATGTCCAGAACAGGCAAATCCACAGAGACAGACGCAGATTAGTGGGTGTTTCAGACTGGGGAATGGGAGGATGGAGGAGTGATAGTTGAAGGGTGCAGGGTTTCTCTTTGTGGTGATGAAAATGTTCTGAAACTGACCATGGTGGTGATTGCACATATCTGTAAATATGCCAGAATCTACTGAACTGTGCACTTTAAATGGGTAAACTGTATTGCATGTGAATTATATCTTGATAAAGCTCAAAAACAACAACAGTAGGGCTTTGTTTAAACAATAATGCTAGTTAGATGCTCCTTTAAATGTTGTAACAGAAACTCAAAATACTGTTGTTTAAACCAGATAAAAATAGTCCAAAGTAAATATGGTAGCTTGACAGTATATGAACCACCAGGTCCTTCCATTTGTTTTCTGCTGTCCTCAATATGTGGCTTCTGTCTTCCAGGCCCAGACTGTTGCTCCAGCTACCACATCTTGTCTTTGTTCACCTAGAAAGGAAAACCCCCGTAAGGGACCTGAAAATGCACAGATACCACTTCTAGTGTCATCTTGTTAGTCAGAACTTAGTCACGTGATGACTCCCAAATGCAAGAGAAGCTGGGAAATGTAGTCTTTAACTGGGTGCCATAGGCTGAGCCAGAAATCTGAGGTTCTGTCTAAAGACAGGAGGAACATCAGGTTCTTAGGGACGAGTTATTTGCTGCCAGTCTTTCCCCACAAGTTTGATCTTTCTGGAGCTACCAAATACACCAGTGTTCTGGTAACCTGATTTGCATCAGGAAAGACTTGAAAAACTTGCTCTTTAGTTATAGTGACTTCATGTTACTGAAAGACAAGTCAGATTTTTCCCTTGGGCTTGTTTATTTCTCCCTAGTTGGGATAGAAAAGCGACTGAAGAACAACTTTCTTCTCACTGAGGCGAGGACTAAGTGCAGGAGCACTTCAGTGAAACTCATCCACAACTCAGCGTTGGCCCGTGACTGCACCTGCCAAACTGCTGATGGTATGTTTTGTGATTTCAGAGCAGGGACTCCATGGCCCCCGAGCTGAAGCGGTGGGCTCAGCTGGTCGTCCTGTCCTGTGGAGACCGTCTCCCTACAGAGTCCAGGCTGGCTGCTGCTGACGTCCTCACCAGCACTGTGCCGTTGTTCCTCACCAACCCCCATCCTGTTCTTGGTAAGTGTGTGAGCGGGAGTCCATTGTACCAACCTCACTAAAAGCATGAACGGCCTAAAAAAAGAAGGGAGGGTAAAAAAATATTTCAGATATTCCGTTCTCTTAGTTCATTCTCAACTCATTTTCACCAACAGCCTCTTAAACAGCCTTTTTCTTTCCATCTTATCTCCCAAACCATTCTCCACAAAGCTTCCAAAGAGCCTCTGTGGTCTTTCGAAAATGCAGATCTGATCATATGGGTCCACTGCTTAAACCTTTGCAGGGATTTGCAATGCTTTCAGGATAAAATCTCAACCTGCTTCACCGTGGTTCGTGAGGCCCTTCCATTCTGCCCCTGGCCTGCCCCTCCTGCCTTATTGTCCCCACTGCCCTGCACAGGCCCTGTGCATCATGGGTAAAGAGACTGCTGCTTAAGTGACCTCTGCCTGACCGTCCACTCTTCTTAGAAGCCTACTGCGGTAATCTAAGTGAGAAATGAGTGGGTCAGTGTAAAGCGTGGCAGTGAGGAAAGAGGATAGGCTCAAAAGACGTTTAGGAAGTAGGATCTGCAGGACTTGATGATATTGTGGTTGATAGAATAGAAGGACTCGGTGACTTCCAGGCGTCTGGCTGAAGTAACCAGATTGGCTGCTTGTTCCCTTCACTGAATTTGGTTTTAATTTGAAGGTGTCTTTGGGACGTAAAAGTGGAGATACTTTGAAATCAAATGGATGTACAGATCTTGGTTGGTTTCCAGCATGTTCCACACCTCCTTGTCTCTTCCTCACTGCTGTCCCTGTGCTTGAAATCCTAAGAATTGAAAAGCATATTTTTTGTTTTGCTTTTAATCATAGGATTTAATAAAAGGGAGACACATTGGTCAGGTGTGGTGGTTCATACCTATAATCCCAGCACTTTGGGAGATAGAGGTGAGAGGATTGCCTGAGCCTAAGGGTTCGAGACCAGCCTGGGCAACATAGCAAGACCTCATCTGTACAATTTAAAAAAAAATTAGCCAGGCATGGTGGTGTGCACCTGTTATTCCAGCTACTGGGAAGGCTGAGGCGGAAGGATCTCCTGAGCCTAGCAGGCCGAGGCTATGGGGGTCATGACTATGCCACTGCACTCTAGCCTGGGCAACAGAGCGAGACTGACTCAAAAAAAAAAGGGTGGGGGGGACCTAGGACCTAACACTGTGCTTCAGTCTCTATCCTATCCTCTCCTGCTGTGTTTAATCCCATTATAATATGCTATCATTCTCTTCCCATCTGTTAGGGGAATTTGTTTTTTGTTTACCTTCTTCATACTCAGCCCTCAAGAATAAGACATGGTCCCTGCCTCGCCTCCAAGGGGCTTTCAGTATAGTTTTGGGAAAGGATTTACAGAACAAAGGAAAGAATTGATTAGCTTTGCTTTTTAATAGAGATGGAGGTCTTGCTATGTTGTCCAGGCTGGTCTCGAACTCCTGGGCTCAAGCGACCCTCCTACCTCAGCCTCCCAAAGTGCTGTGATTACAAACATGAGCCACCATGCCCAGCCAGAATTGTTTTTAGATGGTGAGGTTCAAATTTTACATGTTGTAGGAGTTCAGACCAATGAAGTGTCTCCTATCTTCATATCTCACTAGGAAACAGTTTTCTTTGATACCGTTTTTCTTCTTTCTTCTTAGTGACTTCCAGGCATTTTTCTTATACCTAAAAGGGGAGGGAGAAAGGGATCTTCTGTGATTGTGATTCAATCGCTGGATCCAGAGGATTAAAAGCAAAGGCTTATAAACTTTGGTCAAGCTTCCCCAGTAAGGTTAATATCATTTTGCAGCATGTTTCTGGGTTACTTAGATGCCTCTACCCCCCAGCTCATAACATGTAAAATGTGTGTGGAATGGCCAGAAATGCCTGTGTGAAATGTGGTCCTGGGCCTTTGCCATTGCTGGTGGTGGTGATAGCTTATAGGATATGAGGAAGGAGATTGCAGTGGCCTCCAGGAACATGAGCAGGAGGTACTGAGTAGGTAGAAACAAAGGACAGAAAAGTGCCTGGGACAGGTCAAGGGCAGAACAGAGTCATATAAGGAAAAAGAAAAATTGAACTAAAGAGGGCTGGGTCTTAGGACCTTGTGAAAGAGGAAAATGATAAAGGACAGTAGTCAACTTTCAAGAACGATGAAAAAGGATGGATCCTGCAAGACTGAGTAAAATGTAAAGCAGATCTGTAACGGAAAGGAGGGCATGAAACCCACACGGAGCCGCTGCTGCTCTTGGTATGACTAAAGCGTTGGTGACTGATATCAGCTTCTCCATGGACAGACGGGAAAGTTCCTGGGACAGGACAGCTTCCCCATGAAAACGCTGGGATGCCATGTGGTGGCCTTCCATGGCCCTCCCTTGTCGACCCCCATGAGCTCTGGCCCAGCCCAGCTGTATAACAGGCATTCACACATCCCCTTCTCCACCCCTCCCCACCCTCAGGAGGTCCATCTCAATTACAGCAGTTCACTGTGACCCTTCCCTGTTGTGAGTCACAGCCACACAGTTTCATTCTTGACAACCCATTGCCTTGTGTTCTTGACTTGACATTCCTTTTGCTTGCTCATAGGCAGATACTGTCTTTTCCTCTTCATTGTCCACAGCAGCACCTGGACTCTGGCTGAATAGACAGGTCTGTGCCCAGGGGGAAGGGATGGCAGCCAGAGAGTGGAACCTACAGACGCAGGACACAGGGTGGTGCCTTCATCTTGGGTCTTCCTTATTGTTATTCTTGCCCCCAAAGCATCATCTGGACTAATTGTTTGTTTTCCGAATTTATGAGCTCAAATGCTCAAATCAACACCGGGCTAGTTTACCAAAGCACTCTTAATACATAACGTTTCATTCTGCAGAATCGTGATTCACTGGGGACAACAGGGCCTAGGACCTTTCTCAGCTGTGCAGCGCCTTTCAAGGACCTTGCCTGAGGCTGGTTAGCTCCAAAAAGCCTAACTTCCTACCCTCAAACAGACACCTAAGTCTGCCCCTTGTGGCTCCCACTTTCCAGTGTTTGTCTGACTCTCAGGTCTTCCTACCTGGCAATGCCCAGAAAGCAGGCATGGCCATAGCTCCTTCAGTGCTGCGTTCTGCCACCAGGTCTTTCAAGCAGCGTTTGCACCTGCCTGTCAATTACATTCTACCTAATTCCAGTGCCTTTTGGTCTTCTTAGAGTTGCAGGATACACTTGCTCTCTGGAAGTGTGTCCTTACCCTCCTGCAAAGTGAGGAGCAAGCCGTCAGAGATGCAGCCACAGAAACTGTGACGACTGCCATGTCACAAGAAAACACCTGCCAGTCAACAGGTACTTCCTTCTTATCCTCTGCACTGCCTTGTTGCTCTAGCTGGCATGCTTTTCTGTCAAGAGCCAGAGAGTGAATATTTTAGGCTTTGTTGGTGTTTCAGTCTGTGTCTCAGCTCTGCCATTTTAGTGGGGAAGCCATAAACAGTTGGTAAATAAGTGGGTATCACTGTGTTCCAATAAAACTTTATTTACAAGGACAGGCAGATCCCAGATTTGATCTGCTAGTTACAGTTTACTGACCTGTGCTTTAAGACACTCTAAAGAAAACTTCTTTTCAAAGGTAGAAATTTAATAAACAGTGTTTAGTCTTTTGCTGGTGACCCTGTCACCTGTTCTAAACAAAGTTGGGTCTCGATGATCCGCATTGTTATATAACTCAGGAATCCCAGATCCATTGTTTTGTTCCTGTGGGAGTTTTTACAAGCAATAGCAAGCGACAAGTGATCACGTATAGGTTAAGTTTGTCCAGTCTGTGCCTGGGCTCCTCATTTGATGCCAATGTTAACTCAGGAGACTGGAGGGGAGTAGAGGGAAGAGCAACCTGGGTGGGTAGTTCTAAGTTCATATCCACAGCATGAGCTGTCAAGCCCTGGGCCCTGGGGTCATCAGGATGGGGTAAATACTATGAATGCAGAAAGGAACTCTGTGAGCAGAAAATGGACAGCTAAATGGAAGGGATGGGCAAGTAGAGTAGGAGCAAGGTCATGCCTCCAGACAAGTGGCCCCTGGGAGAGTGGCTTGAGTTCCCTGTGCTTGTCGGGAAAGGTCTCTGGGTCACCCATCCCAGGGAGCAGCAAGAATGCTGTGTTGAGGCAAGGGGTCACGAGCTGACCCAAGAAGTTCACCTGAAGGGACCGCAGAATGAGGGAGGGGTAGTCAGACAGGGTTGGTGGCTGACTCCAGGCCCCTCGTCCCTAGGCCAACGCTGTGTGCCGAGCAGAGCATAGGACTGTGTTCCCTGGATGGGGCCCCAAGCGGGTGCACTGTCCAGAATCTGAGTCCTCCGTCATAATGGTCTTATGTCTCTCTGCTTGAATGGAAGATGCTAGATTTTGAAGAATCTCTCAGTGATTCCACACCAGGGGGAAGCATTTGGAACGACCCTGGGAGGGATGTGCAAACCGGCTTCCCCCGCACTCCTCCAACCTGCCAGACTCAGACTCTCCTGCTTTTGAAAAACCTGCCAGTAGTTATTCTTTTCTTCAATTGCAACTTTTCTTTAGAAGGACACACAGAGCACCCAGTGAGTGCTCAGTAAATTTTTACTTAGTAGATTTCTCTAGGACCTTCTTCACTAAAGATGGGAAAGATAATGTCATAGTGAAGCCACAGGTGGAACTCTTTCCTCTCTATCTTTAATCTATAGTCTTTACCTACTATTTCTCTGTCTTTCAAGTTTGGTCCAAGTTCATCTGTAGTAAAAATATTTTCCAGTGTATTTTTCTCAAGAAATAGAAATCAACAATCATATATTGAATTCCTTCTGCATGTAAAACTCCACAGGTGAAGCCTCTGAAAGCATAAAATGTGTAAAAGTCTATCTTTTTTTTTTTTTTTTTTGAGTTGGAGTCTCACTCCATCAACCTACTGGGCTCTGGGGATCCTTCTGCTTCAGTCTTCCAAGTAGCCAGGACTTCAGGCATGTGCTACCACACCTGGCTAATATTTTGTAGAGATGAGGTCTCATCAAGTTGCCCTGGCTGGTCTCGAACCCGCGGGCTCAGGCAATCCACTTGCCTCAGCCTCCCAAAGTGCTCGGATTACAGGCTGAGCCACCAAGCCCGGCCCTATTTATCTATTTTTGTATTCCTCATCTTGGTCTATAAGAAAGGATGTCAGGTGTGAAAAAGGCAAGAACTGTATAACAACTAAATGCAGTTGAAGCAGACCAGATCTCATACTGGAGGAGTGAAAAGCCCTACAGGAAATTATTAGAAAAACTGGCAACATTAGAATATTGTCTATAGACTAAGATCACTATTAGATTTCTTGAGTTTGATAACTGTACTGTGGTTTTGTAAGAGAATATTTTTGTTCTTAGGAAATTCACACTGAAATATTAAGGAGTAGAGACACAACACAACTTACTCTCAGATGGTTCAGAAAAAAATAATACTGTTAAGCCTAGACATGCAGTTGCTATGCTTACGTCTTTTCTGTATGTTTGAAATCATTTCTAGATGAAATGGTTTTTAACACAATTTCTCCACTAGAAAAGACCAACACAGTAAATAATGACAGACCACTTGACTGGTTTCTCAGTAAATAATTCAGCCCCCAGAGTGACCTCTTTATCCTAGATTATAAAGTACCTTGCTTCCCCTTTTTTAAAAACTCATTTTGGGTGAATTTTTTTGCATCCAAAAAATCAAATTCAAGCCAGAGTCCTCATTTCAAAGATTTTAGCAACATAATGTCACGTGTGGTGGCACTCATTCAGACTAAGTGGCACTTCCTGTGTGTTCTCTGTTCTGCCTAGTTAGTGGTGTTTAGAACCGCAACAATACAGCTTGGTTTTCTTAAGCATAAATACGGATCTTTTTGCTTTAGACTGAAAAGTAGCTTAGGATTGAGACTCACCCTCTGGTCTCTTGCTTGAGTCAGAAGTTAGGCAACTGATTCATCAGAACAATATCGCCTTGTTTTAACATCTCTCGAGGATTTCAAGCAGCTGATGGTAACTTTTCACATTCCTTTGGCACACAAGGATTTTGTAGAATGCACTGCTGATGTTTTGCTCTTTGGTGTTCCAAGTTAATTATCACTGTGAATCTTGAATACCTTAAAAATACATGTTGTTTATTTTGTTCCCAAATCAGCATTTTAATAAGCTCCACAGTAAAGTAATATTATTAAGTTACACTAATAATTAATGTCTTCCTTGAGAAGTTAAAATTGCAATGAAAAAAAGTAAAGTGAATTATCGGTTTTCCTCCAAAGAAAGAAATACACCAGGAGACCTGAGCTTGTGTACTGACAGGGGCAGGGGGCTGGGTGCAGATAGATGCACTTGGCTCGCAGATGTCTCCTGATGCCCCTGCTGGGGCCTGGGCAAGTGTGAAGTACACCCGACTGTGGCTCTAGGAAGGGTCTGGAGGGTGGAGAGTTGTGACATCAGTGAGAGCAGACATTCAACACAGAGAGAGAAACGGGAGCCAAAGCCTAGAGGTGGGGAGCTTGGGGCTGATATGGTGGCAGCAGGCAGACGTCCATGATAAGAACACAGGCGGGGGCTGGGCAAGGGAGGAGTGGGAGAAAAGCCTAGAAAGGCTGGGGCACTTGACCAGGCATGGTGACTCACACCTGTAATCCTAGCACTTTGGGAGGCAGAAGCAAGAAGCCTGAGCCCAGGGATTCGAGACCAGCCTGGGCAACTTGGCGAGACCTCATCTCTACAATAAATCAAAAAATTAGCCGGGCATGGTGGCACACGCCTGTGGTTCAAACGACTTAGAAGACTGAGCCCAGCAGGTCGAGGCTGTGGTGGTGGTTGAGCATGCCATGGCACTCCAGTCTGGGTAACAGACTCCTACTCAAAAAAGAAAGAAAGAAAGACTGGGGAATCCACATGGGGATGGCTGAGTGCCACGCTGCCAACCTGTCAGTGAGGGAAGACTGGAGGCTTGAGGGAGGAGATGGGACCAGGACACGTGGAGGAGTCTCCCTGGCAGCAGTATGTGAGGTGGCAGGGCTGGGACTGAGTGAGGGGCTTCGTAGGCCCAGGAGACCAGCCAGTGGTTGGCAGTGACAGTCCTCAACATGCTGGCATCCATGGAGATGGGATGGAGAGGAGAGGACTGACTTGCGAGAGTATGGGGGGCACACTAACAGGGGGACTGCTGCTTGTGCGAGATGGGGGAGCAAGGAGAGCCTGAGATGAGGTCAAGCTGTCAAACGTGTGAGGTGTCCAGGGGAGACACCCAGACGTGCCTCTGGCTTATGCGGAAGTTGGGCTGTGGCATTCCAGGAAGTGAAGGCATCGAAGCCACAGTCACTGCAATCTGGGACAAAGTGTTCCTTAGGCCTTGGAGAGATGGCTGAGGGACACTGAGAGGGCAAAAGGGGACCCTTATCTGCTGTCAAAACAGAGTGAGCAGTTCAGGCTCTGTCCTGCCCTCCAGAAGGCGGCACAGCTGTCCCGGGAACCTCGGTGCACCTTCCCAGGGCCTGTGATCCATCCCATGGCACCGTTCAGAACCTGCAGAAGAGGAGGCAGGCACGAACCCAGTCACTCAGGCCTCCTCACTCTCACATAGCGATCTTGTGCCAAAATGCGTCGGGCACACAGTTGGTTTCAGGTCTAGATGTGTAGTCTGGAGTCAGTGGTGATCCCAGGAGGCTGAGAGGAGGGAACTCCATGCCTAGACGTCTCTCCCGAGGATGGAGTTCTGGGTCACCTGCACACATGAGACCCAAGCCTGTGACAGCCCTCTCCTGCAGGCCTGAGGCTCCTTGGCCTCTGCCCATGCTACTTCAGGGACCTGGCAACAGCCCCATTCCCCTCACTGCCCTCTCTAGAGCAGTCACTGAGTCCATAGACCGGACAGGAGAAAGGCCCTCTGGGACTTTGAAATCTGCAGTGCGGGTTGAAATGCTCAGTGAGGCTAAAAAAGTAGGTGAGCTGGACTCCAGATGAGGCCTCACCTCTCTCTTTCCCTGCTTTGCTGTGAGTGCAAGTTCAAGAGCAGGAGGTGCTCAGAGCCGTAACCTTCTCCTGCTGAACAGCCCGCCGAGTCTGTTTTATGGACCACATCAGGATTTAATGACAAATTCCAGCTGAACAACCAGGATAGTATTGAAAAGTGAACTGCTAAATGTGTGTGATTCTCAGATTAGACAGGTAATTTGCTGGGTGTGAGCAGCAAGGAAGGAAGCCACGTGGGTGCAACTTAGGAAGCTGCTCTTGAGGAAGAGAGGATAGAAAAAGAGAGGATAGAAAAGAAAGCTTAGGGGGCACATATCCCCCGGGCTGAAGATGGTCCATATCTTCCTTTTGTAGA